GGCTGCCGGGAGAGATGCTGGAAGAAACTTCTTAAATGACCGCGTCCGGCTGGCTGTGGAGCGTTTCTGGGTTGGGGAGAGGAAAGGAAAGTGGAAAAAAACTGAGAACTTCCTGATCTCTCTCGCTGTGAGACATGTCTGAGACTCCTGCTCAGTGTAGCATTAAGGTAAAGATCTTCTCCCCCTCCCTCTCCGTGACCGAAAACCTTGAGTTGCACCGGCCGGGGCAGGCTTGCTGGGCGCTTCAGAGGGGGCTGTTGCAGTCGCTCTGTTCGCAGTAAATTATTTGGGGCGCCCGGGAAGGAGATGCAGCTTGCGGCGGCTGCTGTACCCTTTAATGTAACCTTGCTGCTCTCCCCCGCGGAGCCCCCTGTCGGCTCCATCGCCCCCACCCCACCCCCTTTCTTTTTGACAATGAAATGCCGGTCACAATTGGTCAGGAGGAGCCCGAGTGGTCTCTAGAACTGTAAAACACCCCGGTAATTAGTGCGCTTTAAAAAAGAAAAAACCAACAACAAAAAAACAACATACACAAGAACCTGCTCCTACTCCTACTCCCAACATGTGACTGAAATGTAACTTTTGTTCCCGAGGGTGGTCTCCTTAGAAAAAAAAAGTTCTCCAGCCCCTCTTGGGGGATGGAATCATTTCTTTTTTTTAAGGACTCCCTGGGTCTGATCTGACAGGGTGTACCCCCCCTCTCCTCGGATGGTGATTGCAAGCGCTGGTCGGAGAGACAGTCCTGGTGTCAGCTTTTCCTGGGCATTGCACAATGAACGTCTTTCTTTCTTTCTGTTTAACCAAGGTGAATAAAGTTGCTGAATGGTTCTTTTGCTCCGATGCATATGAAAGTTGAGCAAGCTCAAAGTAGAAAACTCCTGCGATGCAGGGAGAGAGGGAATTATCTAAGTGACCCAGGCAAAATGACCTTCCCTGTTTGACAGTGCAGAGAGGATATCTAAGAGTAGAAGTCTCCCAGCTTTCTGGCTGTTCTGCAGTGTTGAAAATGCAGGATAGTGGATATTTGCAAACACTGTCCTTGGCTTCCAAGTAGTGGTGTGTGTGCGTGTGCGCGTACCTATCTTAACTACCTATCTATCTAGGCTGGTGGTGCTGTGGTTTGTTGCTTCTCAGAAGTTGTAAAGTTTGCCACCGTGAGGAGGCAGAATGATCTGTCCATCTCCCCCAATTATTTTTCCCATGGCTGCATTTCTTGCGCACTTTATTTATTTCACTGTTCCATCAGTACCCAGGTGGAAAAAAAGCCTTCTGCTTCTGTGAGAGGCTGAAGCTGCTGAAGTCTGTTTGGTTTTGGTTTGGCCCATTTAGCGTGTGTTCATTGAGCGGACACTGCAGAAACAATGAACAAATAGCCTGTTTTCTTCATCTGTGGGGAATTAGAAGAACCTTTCCTGCTTGAACACTGCTTTTACATTAGCATCTGTGTAGAGGAAACACAGTATTTTATCATATTGGCTTTACTAGGTTTTCATACTTATTCTCAGATTTTAGTGTTTCTTACCAGGAAAGATTTTCATGGGTTTGAAATAGGGCTAATGTGAACTGAAAAGGTGGGTTGGGTTTCTTTGTTTTTGCCTCACAAAAATGCCCAGTGGAACTTTTGGGCTTCTGTGTTTGTATATATCTGGGTGTGTGTGTGTGTGTAGCAATACTTCTGTAGGTAGAGGAGGTCTCAGAGTAAAGGACTTGGGGTACATTGATACTTCAAAACTGGTTTATTTGCTGTATAAGTCAGACTCTTCAACAAGTTCAGGAAAATCCTATGGTACAAATAATCTAATTTATTCTACACTTCATAACACAAACAGAGGTAACTAAATAATAGGGTATTAAACCCTGTAAATTGTATTTAGTTTGCCAGTAAATCTGACATCAGGAAAACCTGGGCCACCGATGGGCAGTAATTTTAGGGTGAAACAACAACAACAACAAAAATCCGTTCTGTGACTTTTCTTGATACCTCTTTAAGACTATTATCCCTACTGTTCTGATGGGCTCATGTTTGTGCGCTGCAGGCAGAAGTGCTACCAGGTGGCTTGTTTCACTGTATTTTAGTGGGGAAAGAGTGCAGCAGCCCTTTTCCATAGCCACACATACAGAACCAATCCCAAACCCACACAAAACACTTTCTTAACCGTGACATAAAAATTGTAGCCATAGTTTGCCTATCATTTCTTTTCTCATTGCTTACCCTCAGAGTTCTTTTTAGGTGCCTCTTTTCATGACTGCGTACTTCTAAGTAATTAAAATAAATTTAATATTCTTCACTAGTAATAGAAGTACCTCTTGTGTTTTGGATGGTTCTTTATGAAACAAGCACACAGACTTATTGACTTGCTTAGACTGTGTATCTGTTTTGTTGCACATTATGTAAAGTGCATTTTTTCTGAGGAGTTTGTTTAATTCTCAGTGTTCCAATAATAAGCGCTGGAGATCAAGGAGTGGGATTATTCCAGGTCATCTGAAAATGTTCTGGTGATGTGTGCAGTGTTTCATTTAGTCCTTGGGATGTGGCACAGTGCATAATAAAAATGTTTGCTGGTAACCCGCAAGCCAGTACTGGCGTTGCTTCTAGAGTCCAGTAAACAATAAACTTTTCTGTGGAGTGGAGAGTGGATGTCAGAAGCTTTCAAGGATGAGCTGATAAATCAGATGTGCAGGAGACATGTGACACGGAGGCTCTCTGTACGTGGAGAGATTTCCCTCACTTTACTCCTGAAACTTTCCTCACTTGCTCTGGTTCCTTATAAGCAGCTGGTCAGCAGGCAGGCAGTTCTTCAGCAGCTGGGATGATGGAGCACAGAGGAGCCTGGCCGGACAGACACAGAGGGAAGGACTTTGCTTACTTCTGAGCGGTGTCTGTCCTAATAGAAAAGAGGAGCGTACCATTTAGGTGGACTTTCCAAGGCGAAAGTTTCTGAGTCAATCAGTGACACCTTTGTAAGCATTGCTTATGTGGTGCTGGTTGCCAATGAATTTCTGATACTGGCTTTTGTATTCCTTTTGTGCTTTCTAAGCATGTTCCTATCACCTCGGGAGGTTAATATCAGACCTGAGTTTTACAGTAGAAGACAGTTGACCAGCTCAAGGTCACCTAAACTACCACGGAGCCCCACTATTTCTCTGCATTGGGCTGCCCATATGTGTAGTGGCACTCACTTCAAGAGAGTTTAAATGCTTCCATTTCTGACCATTTGGGGTTGTTTAAATGTAAGGACAGGGACAACTAAGTACATAAAACATCCAATGATTTTTTTTTCCCCCTGTCTGAAGATTGAGCGGCTGAGTGTGCTGGTCACAGGAGGAAGGAAGAGGCTGTCTTTTCCATCATCAGCCTTCACCTTCAAGTCACCTGTTCAGTTTTAAGTTCAGCCAAGTTGCAGCGGAAAGTGGTTATGGCCCAGTAGACACAGTCCTCCGTACGGCTTGGCACGGCTCTTTAGTCGGGGAGGGCTATCCAGAAAACAAAACCTAATCATATAACTTTCCTGGTCTCTCCTTCCCTGCCATCTGTACTGGTTGGCTTTCTTAGCAGACGAATTCTCTTTTCATTTTGCTGCTAACTGGGAGACTCTCTGGGTTTCTCCTGTTGGACTCTGAGCTCCTTCAGTTTAGTGGCGATTAACTTTGTGTCCTAGTACCTATCTTGGCACCTGGCACAGAAATGTTTCTCAGTAATGTTTGCTGATTTGAAGAAAGGCATGGGACGAGGTCATTGCCCTTTCCTCTGTCTGTCCCTGTGCACCTCAGGGTGATTTAACACCTTCATCTACTAGTTTGCACGAAATATTTAATTGGGTGCCTACAGTACCCAAAAATTATCATCAGTAGAACTTTGGTATAATAGTAATGTTTAATTATTTTGATAAAATTTTAAAAAACTGCTTTTGTGTCTGAACAGACAAAATAAAAAAGGAATTGAATCAATGATACAGCAAAGGGAGTTAAGGAATGACTAGAAGGTTCAGCTTAGCAGGCTTCTGTGTTTTCCCCAGTTTCTTGTCAATCGAATCAGGGAACTGTTAGACTTTCAGAGCTGAAAGACCTTAGAGATCACCTGGGCCAATGTCCTATTTTTATAGAGAGGAGGTCCAGCGAGCTAAATAGTTTGCTTCAGCTGATTGGTGACAGAGCCAGGTTTAGAGCCACACAGGCCTCCTGGTTCTCAGCCCTATAAAAGGCCAAGGAAACTCGATACAATAGGTCGCACTCTCTCTGGCACTTCCTAACTTGGTCCATTTTAATCACAAGCCAGCTGGTATGAGGGCATGGAGTTATGAGCCAAGGAAGATGGTGTGTGGGGGGGACATTGGGCCGAGAGGGTATATTGTTAGATGTGAGAAGAGGAAAGAGGAGTAGAGTAGGGGCTGAGGGAAGAGGGGCGTGATGGACTTGTATTTACACCATTTGCAGCAATAATTTTTTTTTTTTTTATTATGGTACAAAACACGTATTAAATTTACCATCTTAACCATTTTTAAGTGTACAGTTCCCTGGTGTGAAGTATATTCACTTTGTTGTGCAACAGATCTCTAGAACTTTTTCATCTTGCAACATTGAAATTCTACAACCAACAAACATTAATTTCTCCTCCTCCCAGCCGTTGGTAACCACCTTTTTTCTTTTCTGTTTCTATGATTTTGACTACTTTAGATACCTCATCTGAGTGGAATCAGACATTATTTTTATTTCACTTAGTATAATATCCTTGAGGCTCATCAATGTTATAGCATGCGACAGGGTTTCTTTTTTTTTAAGTCTGCACAATATTCAAATTTTACGGAGATGCTACAGTTTCTTTGTCCATTCATCTGCTCACGGACATTGGTTTACTTCTGTCTCATGGCTGTCGTAAATGAAGCTGTGGTGGGTGAGAGGGTGCAAATCTCTTCGAGATCCTGTTTTGAGGTTTTTGGATATATACCCAAAGGTGGGATGGGCGGGATACAACAATACTTTTCTACAGCGTGTGAGGGACTGGTACTTCTGCTTTTAGGTGAAGGCACTGGGCCTGTTATCAGGACTTTTTCTGAGGAATCCTTGAGTGGACCTGAGGCTCTTTTATCCAGGGGCAGCCAAACTTGCACCTCAGTGTGTATGTGGTGAGCTTCCTGTTTCAAACAGTATCAGCTAAACCGTGGCAGCT